AGGCGCGTGGACAGACGGACAGCGGCCGCGGGGTCACCTGGGGACACGGGAGGGACACCTTGGGGACACCTGGGGACACGGGAGGGACACCTGGGGACATGGGACAGACGGACAGCAGCCGCGGGGTCACCTGGGGACAGGGGAGGGACACCTTGGGGACACCTGGGGACAGGTGAGGGACACCTTGGGGACGCCTGGGGAGACACCTGGGGACACACCTGGGGACACACCTGGGGACAGGGACAGACGGACAGCGGCCGTGGGGTCACCTGGGGACAGGGGAGGGACAGGGACAGGGTCACCTGGGGACAGGGGGGGACACCTTGGGGACACCTGGGGATACCTGGGGACAGGTGAGGGACACCTGGGGACACCTGGAGACACCTGGGGACACCTGGGGACCCCCTGGGGACCCCCTGGGGCACCTTGGGGACACCTTGAGGTAACCGGGGGACACCTGGGGACACCTGGAGACACCTGGGGACACCTGGGGACCCCCTGGGGACCCCCTGGGGCACCTTGGGGACACCTTGAGGTAACCGGGGGACACCTGGGGACACCTGGAGACACCTGGGGACACCTGGGGACCCCCTGGGGACCCCCTGGGGCACCTTGGGGACACCTTGAGGTAACCGGGGGACACCTGGGGACACCTGGGGACACCTTGGGGACACCTGGGGATACCTGGGGACAGGTGAGGGACACCTGGGGACACCTGGGATCACCCTGAGGACACCTTGGGGACATTTGGGGTCGTATGAGGACACCTTGAGACCCCTTGGGGACCCCTTGGGACACCTTGGGGACACCTTGAGGTAACCGGGGGACACCTGGGGACACCTGGGGACCCCCTGGGGACATCTGGGGACCCCTTGGGGACACCTGGGGACACCTGGGGACACGCACCCACGCCGTGGGCGCCGGCCTTGCAGGCGTAGTGCAGCAGGGTCATGTCCGTCAGTCCGTCCCTGTCGTCCACGTGGCACCCGCGGCGCAGGATCTGCCCCGGGGACACCTCGGGGTCACCTGGGGACCCCCAAAATCCACCCAGGACACCCCAAAAATCACCCGGGACCCCACAAATTCACCCAGGAACACCCCAAATTC